CCCTTGCTAGAGCCCCAGATTGACCCATGGAGGGCGAGCTGTGTAGACAGGACAATCGATACCGACTGACTACATCTCCGGTACTGAAAGCACCATTACCGCCCCCAACGTCTTCAGGACGTGATCCACCACCAGATCAATTGCTAAAATCTGCCTTGACAGATTCTTCACCCAAGCATTCTGATCCTGATGCATCCGATGTTGAGAGTTCTCCAGACAATCCCTCCCCCAAACCTAGGGTGGCAGGTGATCTTCCTGTCTCCCCTTCTGAAGACCTCACATCTTATGGGGACCTCATCAAGAGGATGGCACACTCTCTGGGCCTCTCTGTGGTACAGCCACAGCCCACTGTATCAGATGCAGTATTCGATGTGATACAGCTAGACACTTCAACGGCGATAGCCTTACCAATGTCCACAGTCCTGTTACAGGCAGTCAAGGCACCGTGGGACAAACCTTTCTCAGCTCCTGTATCTTCCCATAACTTAGACCACATGTACCGAGTGCAGGAGGCGGGTGCAGAGTTCCTCCTCAACTACCCTAAACCTAACTCAATGGTGGTTACATCGTTATCTACATTTTAAAAAGACGCACTCTTGCTCCCTCAGTTAAAGAGAGCAGAAAATTGGACTCATTCGGCCGTCGTTTCTATTCCACTGGGGCTTTAGGAGTCAAAGCTGCAAACTACTCAGCTTGCATGGCCCGCTACCAGTACACTTTGTGGGAACGTTTCACAGATCTGTTAGTGGGACTTCCAGAGGACAAACGTCAGGTGGCTCATAAGTTGCAGAAGGAAGGCCTTGTGCTAGCAAAGCAACAGGTTAATACGTCTAAGCATACCCTGGATGCCTGTTCCAAAACCATGACTTCTGCAATTGCTCTTTGATGTCATTCCTGGTTGCGTAACATAAACCTACAGATGGATACCCGTGCATATGTTGAAGACCTGCCATTTGTTGGTCTTGGCCTGTTCCATTCTACGACAGACACCGTCCTCCAGGACATGGATAAAAGCATTAAGGCCTCCCACACGCTAGGTGTTTCTTCATCTACGCGACAGTATAAACCATGCTCCTGGTCCCGCCCTTGGCAAGAACACTCTTATAGTCAGCAATCCCCGGACCGCACCTTTGGTTACTCCGCAACTTCAACCCGGAGCAACACCATACCATATCATGGTGGGAATATGCCCAACTAAGGTCTAGATTTGATAAAGATGTAACTGTCGGTTTTGAAGAAAGTAAGAACGAATTAGATAAGATTTGGTTATAATTGAGTGATAAGTTGGTTCAGAAAATATATAGTTAGCTGCTTGAGGAATATATGCAGGATGAAGTTGTAAAAACGCCTATGATCTCTTGGATGCAAGACATAGGCTATACTATAAATCTAGAAGAATGGCATAAGGTCTGGAAAAAATTGAAACTCTTAAGGGCAGTGTCTTATAAAGAAAATGTGTATAAAATGCATTATAGATGGTACTGGTCTCCCGATAGATTGGCCAAATTTCAGAAGAATAGTACTAATAACTGTTGGAAATGCAAAACAAGTGTGGGCACTTTCTACCATATGTGGTGGATATGCCAAAAAATACAAAAATATTGGAGAATGGTTCAAATTATAATCTGGGAAATTTTAGGAGTAAGGATAGAGCTTATCCCAGAGATTTATTTATTAAATATAATAGCAGATGATCAACAAATGTATAGGGAAGTAAATATTTTATTGCATATCCTGACAATATCCAGAATTTTGTTAGCAAAGTACTGGAAGACGGATAGATTACCCACCAGGGGTGAAATAGCATTGAAACTGTTGGAAACTGCGGAAATTGATAAAATGCATGCTCATCTATATGGGATTGAAGATAAAGTTGTAAATAAATAATGGCTAGGAGTTAAAAAATGGGTAAAAATAATGTATAAAGGACTCGTTTTCTAGAAAATGTATATTGCAATGTATTTGAACGTAATGTTAAAAACAAATACACATATTTTTTTAAAAAAGAAAGGGAAAAAAACTCGTCCCTGCCCTCCTTTGCTCGTCAGAGAATCTCTCGTGTGGTGGACTTACCCCAGAAACCTATTTCAGGGAGCCCCCTTCCACCCGCCGACACCGAATCTAACTCTAACCTCAGATGCCTCCCGTTGGGGGTGGGGTGTCCATCTGAAGGGTCTCTGTATCGGCGGCAAATGGGATGCCTGCCTATTGTCCCATCACATCAATTACCTGGAACTATTGGCAATACGGTTTGCCCTCCGTTGGTTTCTTCCTATAGTGAAGGGATCTTGTGTGGCAGTCTTCACGGACAATACCACAGCTCTAGAAAATGTATATTGCAATGTATTTGAACGTAATGTTAAAAACCAATACACATATTTTTTTAAAAAAGAAAGGGAAAAAAACTCGTCCCTGCCCTCCTTTGCTCGTCAGAGAATCTCTCGTGTGGTGGACTTGCCCCACAAACCTATTTCAGGGAGCCCCCTTCCACCCGCCGACGCCGAATCTAACTCTAACCTCAGATGCCTCCCGTTGGGGGTGGGGTGTCCATCTGAAGGGTCTCTGTATCGGCAGCAAATGGGATGCCCGCCTACTGTCCCATCACATCAATTACCTGGAACTATTGGCAATACGGTTTGCCCTCCGTTCGTTTCTTCCTATAGTGAAGGGATCTTGCGTGGCAGTCTTCACGGACAATACCACAGCTCTCAGCTACATAAACAGACAAGGGGACACAGTTTCCCGCCGCCTCTGTGATCTGGTGGTTGAGCTTTGGAACTGGTGCATCTCCCACAAAATTTTCCTCATGGCCGCACACATACCAGGGAGCTTGAACGTCCAGGCCGACAGCCTAAGCCGGGGAAGTCTGCGATTACATGACTGGGAGTTCAATCAGACTCTCAGACTACTCGCAGGTCGTACGCTTCTAAGTGGACCAAGTTTTGTTAGTTCCTGAACGGCACCAGTTCTTCGCCTGAAACTGTGAGTCTTACAAAAATATTTGATTTTCTGCTCTCTCTGGCAGATGCAGGTTTATCCCATTCCTCTCTGAGAGTTTACCTGGCCGCGTTATCGGCTTACCATGTTCAAATTGAGGGATGTTCTGTTTTTTCGCATCCACTTTCCAAACGTTTTTTGAGTGGCCTTTGCACCTCTATCCCCCAGTTAAATGTCCGACGGAACTTTGGGATCTTCCTCCGGTGTTACGCCAACTTACTAGAAAACCATTTGAACCGCTTGCCACGTGCGATCTCCACCTCCTGTCTTGGAAGACAGTCTTCTTGGTGGCCATTACTTCGGCTAGAAGAGTTGGTGAAATCCTTGCCTTTAGGCATGGCCCTCCGTATCTGCGGATCCTCCCAGACGGCATCCGTTTAGTCCCGGATATTTCCTTTTTGCCTAAGGTAATATCGGAATTCCATCTTCAAGCAGAAGTCTTCCTCCCAGACTTCGTTCCGAACCCAACCACGCCTGAGGAACGGCTCCTTCATTCCTTAGACGTGAAACAAGCACTACTATTCTACCTGCAAAGGACACGCCAGTCTAGGCGTAATCCCCACTTATTCGTTTCATACGCGCCAGCCAGATCACTTCCCAACGCCTGTCCAAGTGGATTGTCGAGCTCATCATACTATGTTATGCTCTTGCCAAATGTCCTCTACCTGGCTCTCTACGAGCACATTCCACCAGGGCGGTGGCCACTTCGACTGCCTTTCTCAAGGGGTCTTCCCTCTTGGACGTTTGTCTGGCCGTCACTTGGACCACGCCCAACACTTTTATTAAGCACTATGCCCTCCAGGGTCTTTCTGTACTGAACTGGGATGGTGAGTTCTATCATCAGCTTCGCAGTAACTGCCTGCCAAATCCCTCCTCCAGGTAGGCCACTGCTTGCTACTCTCCCATTGGTGTGAAGCACAGAGACCACGTCGAAGATAAACAGGTTGCTTACCTGTAACTGATGGTCTTCGAGTGGTCATCTGTGCATTCACACCACCCGCCCATCCTTCCCCACTGCTGGCAGGTTCTAGTTTCCTGAGTTTGTGGCGGTCAGAAGGAACTGGCGGGATCTCCATTCCCACCCCTCTGGGCATGCGTGGTTGGGGCTCCTGCGCATGCTGGAGGCTTGGGCGCGAAAATCCGCTGAGCTTGCTACAATACCTATCAGTTCAGCGCAGGCGCACTAAACCCATCGGTGTGAATGCACAGATGACCACTCGAAGATCATCAGTTACATGTAAGCAACCTGTTTCTTTGGACACCTGTAGGAAGCAAAACCTCTCCCCCCCCCCCCCCCCCCCCCCCCTGAAATATCAAAATGTTGGTTCTATTTTGCTACTGCAAATGATTGCAATAGGCATATTTCTGGTCTGTGGGAAAACATAGTTTGTCCTTGGCAAATCGTGGTTTATCCTGAACCTAGAAATTAGTAGTTTGTAACCATGTGCAAAGGAAGGAGGGGGTGGGGGATCAAAAAGGAATCCCCCCCCCAGTTTGTTCATGTAACAGCACACCATTGTTATGTCTAAACCAAGTCCAAAATTTTCTCCAGTCATGATTTTCCTGATTTATTGGGGGCAGGGTATTGGGAACCAGGGTATTAGGAAGAGCAGGGAGGCAGGCAGCACTGTGTATGGCCCTGAGAGTTGAACTGTGGTTTGGTTGTCTCATCTGAATCTGGCCAGTCTTTTTCTGTAATAGGTGCATGTGGGGATTTAAGTATGGCTGAACAGCAAGACCACTTCCAAGTAAAACATAAAGTATGGCTGACATGCTGCTTGGTTCTCTTTACTGCCCCTGACTCTAATGGGAACCTTCACACTCAGAGGCAGTAAACCTCTGAATACCGGTGCCAGGAGGCAACATAGGGGAAGGCCTCAGTCTCTGTGCCCTGTTGTTGGACCTTCAGAGGAACTGGTTGGACAGTGTTTGAGTCAGGATTCTCGACTAGATGGACTACTTGTCTAGTTCAGTAGGGCTCTTCTTTTGTTTTTGGAACATTTTTTTTAAAAAAGATTCTGATCCATGACTGATGAGGAATATGAAAGTTTGCTGGGAGGCTTTGGTCTGGGAATGTAATTTTTCTCGGCCTGTTTCCATTTATATCATGGGCATAATTGGTTATCATTAAGCTGAATAATGCTTCCCATGAAAATATTGAATTTTTATTTCATAAGGTGTCCACTCATGGTTCCATCTTGACCTAGAATTAATTTAATGCTGTATATGCTATTAAAGGTTTATTGATTGATTGATTGATTGACCTAGAATTTAAGTTTTCTTTTTGGCTTCCAGGCACAAGTCCAATTCTGCCCAGTTGCTAGTGGAAGCACGAGTTCAGCCTGCCTCACTGAAACACGTAAGTAACTGGCCATTGTGGTCCGCTTGGTACTTAACTGGGCAAGTAGTTTTATCTGAAGACCTGTCCATTGCCTTCGTGGTCCGCTTTCTGCTGATTTCTGATCCAGTCTGTATACAAGGGAACTTGTTTTCCTTAGAGATTCAGTAAAATTCTGGCATGAACTTAAGAGCCAGACCTTCTAGGTTAGTTCGGATCCTTCAGAGCATGATCTCTGGAATTTTGACTGAATAGAAGCCTTTAGAGAGAGCAAGGAAATAGTTTAGTCACTGCAGTCTCAATATGAAACAGCAGCTAATTTTATTGGTTTGGTAGCCTGGTTTCTTAGCCGTTTTAAAAGAGTCTTGGTGTTGAACATTTCATGTTCTAATCTCTGGCATTATTTCTGAAAATAGTCACCCTGTGCTGTGAATTTGTGAGAAAATGTCTAAACTGGCATCTCTGAAAAGAGTCCATTTCCCCCCCTGGTGGCAAAGCTTCCTCCCCAGCTGGCAACAGCCAGCTTGTCAGTACAAAGTCTCCAGCAGCCCACCCTATTTCTGCCCATTCCTGTAGCCTCTGAACAGGCAGCTCGGTTTTTTGTAGATGCTTCCTTCCTGTTTGTATCCTGCAGTTCCCATTGTGAAATGCTGCTTATACTTTTTGGCAAGTCACTGAAATGTACTGACCACATTCAGATGTCATGGACAAAATCTGTTTGTGACAAGAAGTTGCTCCCTGGCCCTTCTTTCTCTCCTTGCACACAGTTGAAACACTGAAGGCTTCCTGGCTCTAGTCACAGTTTGTCACTATGTCCAAATCGACTGCAATGACATAACTTGTTTTGTTCTCTCTTAGAAAACCCAATTTGTAGACAGATGAGTAAATCGCAATTTGTTGTTTTGCCCAATTCTGATACCACAAAAAACTGCACAGAGAACCGGGAAGTTTTCCAGCCAGCCACAGGGAGAGGAGGGGAGCATGCGTGAGCTGAAGGAATTCACTGCCAGTGGATGTAATGAAGGTCATGAGCATAGATAGCTTTAAGGGGAAATTGGAAAGATTCGTGGATGATAGATCCACCAATGCCTATTAGCCATGGTGACTAAAGGGAACCTCTATATACAGAGGCAGCAAACTTCTGAATACCAGTGCTGGGAGGTAGCGCAGAGGAAGGTCTTGGCCTCTAGCCTTCACCCCCAGAGCAGCTGGTCGGTCACTCTGAAACAGGATGCTGAACCCAGATGGTCCAGTAGTCTCATCTAGTTGGGTGGCGCTTATGTTCTTAGGACTTTCTGGTTCTCATCGTGAACAAGCCAACTTTTGTTCATGTCATCAGAATGCAGCCATTGCTTTGAGTCCTTTTTCACAAAACGTGGCTCAGTTCCCCACATCAAGGTTGACTGGCAACCAGTGTTCCCTCTAAGCTGTTAGTGTGAGCTAGCTCACAGTCTTTTAGCCTCTGGCTCACACATTTTTGTTCTAGCTCAGGAAGGGAGCAAACTAATTTATGCAGTAGCCAAATCACCTGCTCACAACTTTAATGCCAGGAGCTCAGAAAGTAGAATTTTTGCTCACAAGACTCCACAGCTTAGAGGGAACATTGCTGGTAGCCTTTAGTAAGTGTTGCAAAAGTCTAATTTCTTTTTGCCATTCTGCAGTGTTGGTGTGAATCAAGTCACCATAGAAAACCTCACAACCCTTCGCCCCCCCAATCTCATCACCTATGAGAGCAGCTTCTAATTATGCTCTTGTCAGTGGCTAAAATTTTACTTGAATGGGTGTCGCAGCTGATTCTGGGCAGCTTCCGTACAACCCTACAGGGCATGTTATGAAAAAGTCTTGTCATACATTAAAATAACAGCAGCTCTTGAATGCCGAAGCCCTGTTGCCAGTAACAAAAAAAAATTGTGAGTGTTGTTCCCTGGCAGTACAGATGCAATGAGGTGAGACCGACAACTTGTACAGCCTGATGGGTCTCACTGGTGCTAATTATAAACTGAAGGATTGCAGCTAATACACGTATTGGGTCAGTCAACATCATGGACTGGAGGACTGGGAATGAGCCATGTGCTGCCCCTCTCTTTGCAGAATACATCTGAACAAGCAAACTATGGTTTGTTTTTGCTCTCTGAACCAGCAGGCAAATGCATACCGTAGTTGCTGGCTACAGCAGACTTTCAGTTTGGTATGCTTGAATTCAGTGGTAGTTTCTCAGATCAGGGAATAAGTAAATAGTTACAACAGTTCCAGACCTTGCCCTAATAAATTACTGTCATTTGAGCAAAATAACTACAGCTTAGAAGTGCTGCTAGGGTTCATTTTACTCTTGTTGGTAACCTTTGATTTCTCTTCCCCCCCCCCTTCCATCTCAGGTCATGGTACATTCCTCCCAGCACTGTGCAGTATGTATGCAGTTTGTCCGAAAGGAGAACTTACTGTCTCTGGCTTGTCAGCATCAGTTCTGCCGCAGCTGTTGGGAGCAGCACTGTACAGTACTCGTCAAAGATGGAGTCGGAGTTGGTAGGTTTGGGACCAAGGGGTGCAGTTGGGGCCTTTGGGCTTAACTGTGACCCTCTTCCTGATTTTCCTTCCCACCTACTGTAAACTTAGTCTTAAACCCCTAGCGTTTAATAGAAGTTTGGTGTTTTTTTGGTTTTCGGGGAGGGGGGGGGGGGGGGGGGGGTTTTGATACAGCGGAAGATTGTTTCCGAAACTTCTGTCACTGTCCCATGTATTTCATCAGGTGTGGTAAATCCACAGTAAAGTGCCTTTTCTGCATTCTTTTCTTTCAAGCCATTTTGGAAATTATGGTGGGTTGCACAACTGGAGGCAATCCCTTGCAACCCTCTCTGTGGCCTGATAACTTTGCGTCATGGGTTTGTTGCCATTCTTCCATAGGGTAGACTATCCTTGTGTCTTCTCTTCCTTTTGCTTAAAGCTAATAATGTCTTTTGCTGGTTGAGTGCTCCTGGTGGTAGGAGTCCAGGCCTAGCTTTCTCAAAATTTTGCTAAAGCGTATGTTGTGAATTTAGCTCTCTTCTGGAACTACTGTAAGCCTTTGCTTTGCACTGATAATGTTGATAGTGACTTCACATGGAGTAACTTTTCTGGGTTTCATTTTTGACAGGCATCTCCTGCATGGCTCAGGACTGTCTGCTCCGGACGCCAGAAGATTTTGTGTTTCCACTGCTACCTAGCGAGGAGCTGAAAGACAAATACAGACGCTACCTCTTCAGGGATTACATTGAGGTAATGCTTATTTATATCTCATGTGTTCTGTGCCAAGGAAATTACTGTAGATTTTCATGTATTTGCATAATTTATCTGGTTTCCTGTATTCAGTTTTTCAGATGGTTTAACACATGGGAGGTAATTATCAGTGAACAGGTGAAAACAGGAAAGGATAATTATAGATTATGGGAATAATATGGGAATAGGTTGAGGGATAGGAGAGTGTATAGGCTGTACCCCTGACTGCCAAAAGCCCTGTCTAATTTATTTCCAGTGTTAAAGAAAAGAATTTTATTTTGCTATGTCCAGCCTTCAGTAGAATGTCTCACTGAGTTCAGTGGAACTCCCACTAAGTGAGTACATGATTGCAGCTTTAATCAGTGATTGGTTCACAATGGTTTTAGTGTATGTGCTTCTTAGTATAAAAACTACCAAGACCTTTATTTGCTGCTTCAGCTACCTTTAAAAGTAAGAGCAGTTTTTAGATTCAGCTTTTGTTCAAGACATGCTTCTTTGGTAAAAGTCGGCCTTTTGATTTCCTTTTTTGTCACCACAAACCAAAGGGTGTAGGGACAGGGGCTGGGGGGGGCGAGGGGAAGAGGGTGGCAGAAAGAAGAGACTTTTCCTGACACCAACAGCAGGGATTGGGGACCACCTGATTACGCTTGGGATTTTGGTAGGAAGAAAAAACCCCTGAAGGATAATGAACCCTTTCCTTCCTGCCCAGAGGTAGCATGGCTGAGGGAGGTGGGCTGTGTGTGCGAGCTGAGCACTTTTATGTCCCCAGTGATTACAAGGGAAGATGTTTAAGTACATGTTTAACTTTCCTTTAAAAACTGTGTGGCTTAACAGTGCTTAAGTTTTGCTTAGATTATGCCCTGTGTGAGTTTGTCCCTCCAGTTAAGTTTAACACTGTTTAAGGAGTCCTGGAAAACAGCTTGATTCTGTGGCTACTAATGCCAGTTTTGTTGGATCACTGCAGTCACATAAAGCCTTTGAGGCCCTTATTTTTCCTTGGTTTCCTTCTTTAAAAGAAACAATGCATTCATCCCCTTCTCAGAAAACTCTGCCCTGGGTGACATGCAAGAACATCGGGGAATCAGTGTTCCCTCTAAGCTGAGTTAGTGTGAGTCAGCTCACAGTTTTTTAGCCTCTGATTTACACATTTTTGCCTTAGTTCAGGAAGGATGGCTCCAGAGCAAATTGATTTATGCAGTAGCCAAATCGCTTGTTCACAACTTTAATGCCAGTAGCTCATCAAGTAGAATTTTTGCTCACAAGACTCTGCAGCTTAAAGGGAGCATTGCAGTGAATCCCTTGCCTACAGAAGAGACATTGGGCTCTTTCACACATGCTAAATAATGCCATTTCAGTCCACTGACGCACCCGTTTGCAAGTGGATTTTGCCATTTCACACAGTAAAATCCAGTTGCAAAGTGAATTGGAAGTGCGTTATTTAGTATGTGTGAAAGTACCTATCATATCTGGCATCCTCCTCAGAAAGAAAAGTTACTGTCTTAAATATACCAAAATTAATTTCAGCCAGAAGAAAAATTGTATCAGATATAGCAAAACAGTAAAGGCAATTATGAACCATGTTATAGTTAGACATTAGGTAGTTACAATAGTCAGATATTAGATTAAATTTTAAACTGCTTTTTAATGTTTTTTGAAGTATTTTAAAATTTTGGAATCTTGTAAAGGTGTACTTCTTTTTGTACGACTGGTCTAAGGACCACAACAATAAACTAAATTGAACCGTGTTAAATGTCTAGGTACATTAAAGTGCTTTACAGCTTTCCTGAAAACTTGCAAAGTTTTGTTAAGAATTTAATGATTCTTTTGATAAGAATTCCAGCAAGGACCTGCATTTGGTCTTGGCCAATGTTCTCTCTGATGAGAATGAATGCACATGGAAAATAGGATCTAACTGTATTTTCGATTCCTAGATCAGCTTTTAATATAGTTTCTTGGTGTGTGTTCCAGAGCCATTTCCAGCTGCAGCTCTGTCCTGGTGCAGACTGCCCGATGGTCATACAGGTACAGGAGCCCAAAGCCCGCAGAGTACAGTGCAATCGATGCAATGAAGTTTTCTGGTAAGGAAGTGAACCCGTATGGTGAACTCAGTCTTAACAAGTATTAAGGGTTCGTTTGGAGTTTCTTTTGCAAACTAATTAAGAAGAAATTAAATGAAACTCACAAGGCACCCTAAGACCAATAGATAAGCAAATATTATTTAGAGCTGAGAATGACTGTGTCAGATGAACTTCTTGAGGCTGCTTCTCACATCTGTAAGTGTGACTTCATGCTTGGGAGTCTGAAAGCTACCTTTCCATCAAGAACAATTCACAGAGCTAGCTCTAAAACAACCCCATGAATGGCTGGATGTGTTGTATTATAAAGCTGTGACTCCTAGACTTGACTCAGGCTACCTGATATTCTCTTTTTCTTCTCCCCACCAAAAAGATAATGTCCCTGGGACCTGAAATCTACAGTCGCTGTTCACAACTGAGCAGTCCTGTTCTTATATTCTGCCTTCAGTGACCTGACCTCTGTTTTCTGCTTTTGGAGGGGGTTCAGAACTCTGTACCAAGCAAATGTAAATGCTGTGATCTGTGTGTGGAGCACATTTATTTGTTTTGCTGAGCTCTGATTCTAAGCATGGCATTGTAGCCCTCCTGGAAATCTGACTTGGCCCTCTCCTTAGCTTGTGATTTCATCATACATTGGCCACTTACGGTTCAAATTTATCTTTGCAAAAAAGTGCTGGAAACTCGCTTTTAGGTGATTTCAGTTTCAGTCTTTCTGTTAATATGAGTGGGGTTCTCTTGATGCTAAATTGTGTGTTCGCTACCAAATTATGTGTTTGCATATGATTCAGACAGCCGTATTGACACCTTTCACAGTACTTGTGTTAAAAAGGCAGAGGCCATGCAGCTCTGCATTACAGATGTTCCTCTTTTTATGTACAAAGAGTCATTCAATCACATGTATTAGCAGATATTATATATTATATTATATTCATGGAAAATTGACTTCTCTTTCCTTTTGTGTGCTTAAGTTTCAAGTGTCGGCAGATGTACCATGCTCCCACGGACTGTGCCACCATCCGAAAATGGCTCACCAAGTGTGCAGATGACTCTGAAACGGCTAACTACATCAGCGCTCACACTAAAGATGTAAGGCATGGGGGTATTAGATATTTCATTTATAACTTTGCCCATGCTGAGAGTTTGGGAGAGGAGAGTCATGTGGTACTTAAAATTTGTATGCCATTTAAATCTTAAAATATGGTGTAAACAAGCTGCCAACAGCTAGCTTATATTTAGTAGTATACGTAATATTAACGGGGGACTTGCTGTTTCAAGCAGCATATTTATATTTAATACCTTCCCTTCTGTTCCTCCTTTCCTTCCTTTGACTTCCCACTCATCAGTCAAGCTTGTTCAGAATGGGAGGCAGTGAGGTGTCAGTCAGTGTAGTTGGTGATGATATCTCACATCTTGCAGAAAGGACCCAACAGAATTTTCCAAAGACCAAATTTATTGGTCTTTAAAGTACTACTGGACTCAAATTTTGTTCTGCTACAGACTAACAGAAAGCTGTGTCCCAGAAAGGAAGATGAGAGTCCATTCAGTTCTTCAGATGAACCTCACCGATGTCCCCATCTTCTGTCCCCATCCCTTTAATGTTTAGCATGGGTTGAGATCAGTCACTTAAACACGAATAACTAATATAAATATCCCCCTTGGGGAAAGAAAGAAAGAAAAAAAGCTATTGAAGAACTATTAAGTAGGGTGGGCAAGGGATTATACTGATATAAAGCATAAAAAGGTGATCAGGTATGATAGGGCACACCCTGAGTAATGGGGGAACTAATGCAAATCATTACTGAAGGGAAATAGGAAAAAAGATGAGCAAGAGACCCAGGCTTCTTTAAGGCAGCAGCAGTACCTGGGACCACGGTGGCTCAGAGGTTAAGATGCTGAGCTGCAGACCGGAAGGTCTGTAGTTTGGCATTTCGAGACCCTGGTGCCACGTAACGGAGTGAGCTCCCATCTCTGGCCCCAGCTCCTGCCAACCTATCAGTTTGAAAGCAAGAAATTGCAAGTAGGTAAATAGGTACCGCTTCAGTGGGAAGATAACAGCGTTCCGTGCGCCTTGGCATTTAGTCATGCTGGCCACATGACCATGGAGAAGTCTTTGGACAACGCTGGCTCTTCGGCTTTGAAATGGAGATGACTGGCTTTTGAGCAAGAGAAACTTTTACCTTTAGTACCTGGAATAGGCCCTCACCTATTCTCCTGGGATTTGAAATATGTTTCAGTCCTATGACAATGTGCTTCTTATTTTGGAGACCTTTCAAGTTAAGGTACCCCATGGTGGCATGGAAGAGCAGAGGAAACTAAGAACCACCAGCAACCACACAGAAGCACAGTAACATAAAGCTTCAAATACTAGCAGTGGGTTTAAGGTCAATTTGGAATGCTTTTGTCAGTGTTTCTTGGGTTTATCTTTGTGGAACTGAGGGCAGGAAATCTTACGAGCGCTTTGGTTTTCAGTTGATGGTGAGAACTTGGTGCAAGCTGATAAGAGCTCAGTGTCGTCTCCGGCTTTTAGGTTGTTTGAGTTGATGGGTTTATTGATTTACTTTTGAATTGTACATAGGATTTTTATGTTAGCTGCTTTAGGGACCTTTAGCAGTGTATAAAATTGATAAAGAGATACAATTATCTAAAGCCAGAGAAAAAGGAAAAATCAGTATGGAACTGAAAAAGGCACAAGATATCAAAGGGTGGAAAGGCTGAAACATGAAACGGGATCTAATATATACGTCTTCTTTTTCCTCCCCAGTGTCCCAAGTGCAATATCTGTATTGAAAAGAACGGTGGCTGTAATCACATGGTAAGCAGTTCCTGAACAAGATCAAGACTACTTTCAAAAGTTCTTCAGTTGACTTTGTTTGAGCCTTGCCTAAAGCCTTCTTTCTCTCTCTCTCTCTCTCTCTTTCTCCTCTCTTCCAGCAATGTTCTAAATGCAAACATGGTAAGTAGACAGAATAAAGACGTTTTTAGTGGAGGGGAGAAGAAGGGAGGGCAAGGGTTTATCCCCCTTTCTTCTTTGAACACAACCCCGATGGTCCATTAAAGCACTCTTAGTCGCCCTGACCTGGATAGCCCAGGCAAGCCCGATCTAATTGAATCTTGGAAGCTAAGCTTGGGCCGACCCTGTCAAGTATTTGGATGGGAGACCTCCAGGGAATACCAGGATTGGGAGGCAGAGGCAGGCTATCAAGACGCTTCTCTGAACGTCCTCCATGCCCCAGTAGGAGTCGCCAGAGGTTCCCATGACTTCCAGGCACAGGCACACACGCACAAAATGCAAAAATACCAAAAAAACAAACAAATAAAGGACTCTTAGTTAACAGTGTACAGTGATCCCTTGAAGAGGACTGTCATTTACTGGGGTGGGGGGCTGGTCTTGTTGCTTTTTTATGAGCGTTGCAATGTAACTTGCACTCTTCTTTATGATAACAGACTTCTGCTGGATGTGTCTGGGGGACTGGAAGACCCATGGCAGCGAATACTACGAATGCAGTCGGTACAAAGAGAATCCTGATATTGTAAACCAGAGTCAGCAAGCACAGGCCAGAGAGGCCCTTAAGAAGTACTTGTTCTATTTTGAGAGGGTAGGAGACATCTCCTTGGCCAGAGCCGACTGTAGCCTTTTTAATGCGCCCAGCCTTGTGGAAAGGTCAATGCAAACAATGACTGTGTGAGAAAGTGCATGTAATAAAAAGTTCTGTGTAGTCACAGTAGTTTCAGAAGTCTGTGTTAAAGATACTTAAGCTTATTCTTCCAGATGCAGGCTCCTTTCCAGAGAATCCTTGCCAGCAGTGTTGAGAAGAGGGTATCTTTACCAAGCCCACAGCAATAGCTTGCTTCGAGTTCCCTGACACTGAATTGCCTGTGTTATGCAGTAGAATCTTCCTCTAAGGCTACAATTTGCCTCCTGCATTCCCCTGCACCCAAAATGCTGAAAATTCCTAGCTTTCACTAGGAGAGAGCCAGTTTGGTGTAGTGGTCAAGTGCATGGACTCTAATCTGGGAGAACCAGGTTTGACTCCCCACTCCTCGGCTTGCAGCTGCTGGATGCCCTTGGGCAAGCCATAGCTCTGTCAGAGCTGTTCTCTCAAGGACAGTTCTGGAAAGAGCTCTCTCAGCCCCGCCTACCTCACAGGGTGTCTGTTGTGGGGAGGGGAAGGGAAAGGAATTGGTAAGCCGCTCTGAGACTCCAAGTGAAGGGCGGGGTATAAATCCAATCTCTTCTTCTTCTATATAGGGAACATTGAATGGGTTTGTGAACACCCATGTTCTCCACTCCCATTATGTAAATAAGCTGTTTTGTCCACATCAGTTACATTTTGCATACTTAAGTCTTAGTCGGGAGGATCTTTACAGTATCCAAAGCATTACCTAGTGTGGCACTTATATGAAGCTCCTCTGAGTACAGTCAGTTTGGATTGGCAGCAGCACTGCAATGTTATTGGGCAGAGATCTTTCCTCTCTCTGATATCTGTGGTCCCTTTAAATGCCAGCCATTTAGTCCAGTGCCTGGCCCCACTGTTGGACCTCCTGATGGCACCTGGTATTTTTGGCCACTGTGGGACAGAGTGTTGGACTGGATGGGCCATTGGCCTGATCCAACATTGGCTTCTCTCTTACGTTCTTATGAAGTTCTACTACTGGGGGGAGGGGGAGCATGTTCCTGCTGGTGGTGATTATCCTTTCAGCAGCTGTTCTTATAATATGCCAAAATTGCTTTAAAAACAAAACAAAACTGGAGGGGCTCTGAATAAGGGAGAAGGATGAAGCTACTGAAAACAATACTGGGAGCTGTCCAAACCCATGGAGATAGGATAAATGAAATAACAAGACAGAAGACATTATTTATTTATGAAATTCAACTTGTTAGGCCACCCTTCCCTGCAGCAGTGCTCAGGGCGGATTACATCAAAACCAACACAATAATAATCCACTAAATAACATTCAAAACTACTAAAAACAATATATTAATCAAAGAAGACATTACGTTGTCTAAGATGATGAGAAATTTCTGTTCCCACCAGCCCCCTGGGTATAGGGGGTGCGAAGGGGTCCCCGGCCCGAGAGAGGTCCGTCGCTGTCCTCAACCGAATGCCTGGCAGAACATCTCTGCCTTACAGGCCCTACGGAAAGGGAATAAATATTCTCAGGCAGAGAGTTCCACCAGGTAAGGGCCAGGACTGAAAAGATCCTGACCCTAGTCGAGGACAGCCGGACCTCTCTCGGGCCGGGGACCACAAGAAGGTTCTTAAGAACCTGTGAGACCGAGAGGCAGCCAGTGTCAGACCCAGACATTTCAATTCACCACCAGCTGTTAACTTTCACATTTTTATCTTACCCTTCCTCCAAGGCTGCATACACAGCTTTCCTCTCCTCCATTTTTCCTGCTCCTCAGTCATTTGATTTTGGTTAGGCTGAAAATGTGGGACTGGCCCAGAGTCACCCAGCGAGTCTCCATGCAGGAGTCAAACCTGGATCACCCCTCCAGTTGAACAGTCTTAACTGCTGGTTTTCTTTTGTAAATTCTGCCTGTCCATTTCCAGATAATTCCCATCATTGCAGTGCTTTGGTTGCTAGTTTTAAAGAATTTTTACTGTGATTAAGTAACCAATTAACATTAGCATGTGTGATACTTTAATTACGGGTTGGAGGCAATTGTGAGGGCCACTTATGGTAGAAAAGTAATGTGCACATTAAAATACAGTAAAGAGGCCGTGGTGGGTCAGAGGTTGTGATGCCGAGCTGCAGACCAGAAGGTCTGTAGCTCGGCAGTTTGAGACCCTAGCGCCACATGATGGAGTGAGCTCCCATCTCTGGACCCAGCTCCTGCCAACTTAGCAGTTCGAAAGCAAGAAATTGCAAGAAGATAAATAGGTACTGCTTCGGTGGGAAGGTAACAGCGGTGGCTGTTCGGCTTGAAAACAGAGATGAGCACCACCCTCTAGAGTCAGATTTGACTGGCTTTCAAGCAAGGGAAACCTTTACCTTTTACTTTAGCCAATGAGAACTAGAAACATTCTTTGGAAAAGGAAACCAGCATTCTCAGGAAACTAGACTGTGACCCTGCTTACAAAAAAAACCCCTCACTTGGCACATCGAAACACTTTTTTAAAAAGAACAAAACACAAAAGATGATATTTCAAGAAACTGCTGTGTGTACAAAGTGACCTAAAACATACCTAGTTTCATTAGCCATTTCCTCCACAGTTATCAATGCAAATACCTAGCAGGTCTATTGATGCGAGTAGCGTTGTCTTATTCCTTTCAGAATGCATTGTCAAAACATAATGGGGTGGTATCAGAAACTGGCTGGGATGTGTTTGCACTTCAGTACATCTTGCCTCTTGTGATGGAAAGGCTTAGAACTGAAAGGTGCTTCTCAGCTTGCTTTTTCTTTCCAAATTAATTGGTCTGGTGAACTTAACCCCAGCATTTTCCTCTCCTTCTGTTGAAAGACTGCACTCATCTCACATCTTTTTCTTCCATTCTGCAGTGGGAAAACCACAACAAGAGCTTACAGTTGGAGGCCCAGACGTACCAGCGAATTCAAGAGAAAATACAAGAACGGGTGATGAACAACTTGGGAACGTGGATAGACTGGCAGTATCTACAGAATGCAGCAAAGCTACTTGCAAAGGTTGGTTTCTCTGGCTTATTAGCACCAAAAAGTTTTTTGTCAGAAGAAGAGTGAAGGGGGGGGGGGCATGAGGGGCAGCAAGGCATGGGCTGTAGTACTGTGAGGTGGTACCCTGGAACTTGGAGGGCCACCAGGTGTTTGGTATAAAGTGTCAACCACTCCTAAGGTTGGTTTGTGTTTCATAGCACACTGAATTGATCTCTGCTAGAAGTCCAGAATAGACATTGGGGACACTGTGGTGTGTGTGTCCCCCCCCCCAACTGCTGTATCTTTAGGGTTATCTACATGCACCCCCTCGCCCATAGAGTCTGAAGATTTGGGCTGGGTTGTCACCAGTAACGCTGATGACACCCAGCTGTATCTGATGATGGACGGGCAGATACCACCTGAGATATTTTAGCCAAGGGTCTGAATGCTGTGACTGCATGGTTAAAGCAGAGTTGGTTGAGATTGAATCCAATGAAGACAGGGGTCCTGTACCTGGGTCGTGGGGCAATGGGGTTGGGGATTCAGCTCCCAGCTCTGGACACGGCACCATTAACACCTGTGCCAGCGGTGCCAGCGGTAAGGAGCCTGGGCATGGTCTTGGACACCTCACTTTCTTTCTTTTTTTAATTAACATTTTTTAACTTTTTACATTAGACACCTCACTTTCAGTGGAGGCCCAGGTCACGGCAGTTGCCAGATCTGCATTTTTCCATCTGCAGCAGATCACTCTGCGGGATCACGTTTCCCCTGGTGACCTAGCTACAGTGATCCATGCAACAGTCACCTCCAGACTGGATTACTGTAACTTGCTTTATGCAGGGCTACCCTTGAGGCTGATCTGAAAACTGCAGCTGGTCCAGAATGCAGTGGTGCATGTCCTCACAGGGACATTGTTGAGAGCACACATGCATCCAGTGCTGCACCAGCTGCACTGGCTTCCAGTTGAATTCCAGATCAAGTTCAAGTTCTTGGGTCTCACATTTAGAACCCTATGCGGATGGGGACCAACATATCTGCAGGACCTTCTCTCCCAAAACAGCCCCCACAGGGCCTTGCGCTCTTCTGATCGACATCTGCTGGTGATCCTCAGCCCCAAAGGTGTACGCCTTGACCAGAGCCAGAACCTTTTCAGCTCTAGCGCCTGCCTGGTGGAACACCCTCCCTCATGAGATTCGGGCCCTGCAGGATGTAATGCAGTTCCTCAGGGTCTATAAAACAGGGATGTTCCACCCGGCCTGTGGTCGAGGCAGCAACAATTCATCTGCAATGGCCTCCCCTGCACTGCTTTGCTCTGCTTAGCTGCCTAGCAGTGTCCACAGTCCATCATAGTTGCGTCCCTCACCCGCCCACTTGCCTGTCCTGCTTTGATCTGCAACTACATATAATTCTGAAATTCGTCTGATTTACTAAATCATCTGGTTGGCGCCTCTTTAAGAGTTTTATGTATTAATAATGATTTATAATTAATAGATTTTTATGATTGTTTAGTATTTTAAATTTCTGTATTTCAACAAAGTTGTGACCCACCCTGAACCTGCTATGGAGGGTAGGGCAGGCTAAAAAAATCAAATAGAATAAATACTACAAGCCCTCAAAGTCCCCATGTATCCTATCAGACTACACAACATACTTGAATAGGCGTAACATACCCCCCCAGCTCTCCCCCCACCACATTGCATGACACTACTTTGTAGCACAGAGGTGTCAAACTCATTTGTTATGAAGGCCGGATCTGACATAGATGTCACTTTGTTGGGCTAGGCCATGCATGCTATAAAATATAATACGAGGAACCAGAGATATAAACTTTATAAAGATGATTTCAGATGCCAAATGGCAATAGCAAGCGTGATTGGATTAGGTGTGATATGCAGAAGGGTAGTAGGCATGGAGATATGAGCATTGGTAATGAGACAGGAAACCTAGGTCTCAGTTCCATCCAGGAGGATTCAGTTCAGGAGGATGCAGAGAATAAATAAACATAAGTCTGACATTAGAAACCACAACATTCAGTTGCTGACCTAAGAGTAGCAGTGCTCTTACAAAGGAATTTCAAAGGGAGATTAGAAAGAGAAACTGCTGCATTACAATTGATAATGAAGCTCAAGACTATGCATCCCCCTGGACGGAATTGAAAACTAGGTTTCTTCTCTCATTACCAATGCCTGCTATTGTCATTTGGTATCTGAAATCACTCCACTCTCCAAGGTATAAGGACCAATCCAAGTGTTCTAATTCCTAATCAGGGTCTTTTTGAAAGAAAATAAATCCAGATAGGAACAGAGAAATCCAATATTAAAAAACAACAACAACCACACACAGCTTTTCAGAATAAGCCAAATTAATTTCCTCAATGTACATTGTGCTTGTCAGAAGATTCCATCCATCCACCTTCCCTCCCTCCGAAGAAGTGTGCTTGCACACAAAAGCTTATACCTGGAATAAAATATTGTTGGTCTTAAAGCTGGGACTCCGGTCTTGGTTTTTCTCTCTCTCTTTTTCTTCCTCCTCCCTTCCCCCCCCCCAAAAGAGGAGGAGCAGCCCCAGAGAAGAAAGCAGAAGCTCTGTGTGTGTGTGAGAGAGAGAGAGGGAGAGGCAGGCAGGCAGGCTTATCGTTATATCTCTCTGGCACAAAGCAGCCATGAGGCTCTCTCTATCTGTGTGTTTGTGTGTGGGGGGGGAGAGCGACAAGAGGCAGGAAGCAAAGAGCCACTGAGAGAGCTGGGGGGAAAAGCAAACTAGAGTGCAGCTGCAAGAGCAGCCCTGGGAAAGGAAACAGAAGGAAGTGGCTTGGGGGACAGTTTTGATCCCTCTGCTGGCTGGATCCGGCCCAAGGGCAACACATTTGACACCCCCTGGTATAGCACTTTGGCCAAGTGCAGCTGCTGAAAGCCAATGTAGTTTTCCAAGGACTAAGTGGACAGCCTGCCATCCTCCAGTGTTGGGAGAAGGGGAGTAGATAGTATTGACATGCATCCCAATCTTTTTCTTTTTCTCTTTTATTGTAGTGTCGTTACACGCTACAGTACACATATCCATATGCCTATTATATGGAATCTGGTCCCAGGAAGAAATTGGTAAGATGTGGCTCATGTTTTTGCCGGCATCTAGAGTTCTGAAGGAATGGAGTTGGGAAATACAGGAGCCCTGGCAGTATGGCTGGGGGGGGGGGGGGGGGGGGAGAGGTGTCAGTGGGCTTGCTGCTGAGTGGGGCTTCCTGTGTTAACGAGGGGCCGCTCACATGCACAGATTAGAGGGAACACTTGTGTCTGAGAATGGCATATAGGCATGTGACACAGCTGGTGAAGTTATTTGCCTTTGCCTGGCTGAGTGACTGTTCAGGAATCATCTGTAAGCTGCTCTCTCTTCAAGGTAAAAATTGGTTCATCACAACCAGCACTTCATACCTGAATAGGAAGAGTTCACAAATTCAGATGTTACCTAATAATGTTTTTTTTTAAAGGACCTCCCAGTTGGTGCTCTTCCTGACCCCTGCAAATGTTTGTTTTGCAGGAAGAGAGGCAGGATGCACAATGAACTCTATTTCAGCATTTTTTTAAAAAAAAGTAAATGAAGTACTGCCTTGTTTCACAAGTGTGCTTTTGTTCACTAACCTTCCAAATGCAACACTTTGAAAAAAGTGTTTTGGAACCTGGAAGGGATGGACAGTGATCCTATAGAAAGAAAACATTAAATGTGTGTGCCAAGCACATAACCGTTCTGCCTCCCTTTTGAATTCAAAAAGGTTCTTTGTTAAGATGTCTTAACTTACAAACTTTTAGGTTTCTGGATGTAAGAACCCTTGATGAGAGCTCCCAGAGAGGCGGAGAAAATAGATGGTGACTGGGATTTGGACTGGCTTTAAGTCTAGCACCTTTCTGGTGTGCATGTCAGTTCACACCAGATGCGACAACTCATCATTCTGGTTATCTGAGCCCATGAACCCTGCCTCTGTCTTGGCTTGTAGCTTCTCATTCCTTTAGGAGAGCATTTTGAATGTGAGCAGCAGCAGCAAGAAGGCTTTCTTGAAGCAAGAGCCTGGGGGTTGGTGAGGGGTGGTGTAAGGTACTCTGTCTATCTCTGTTAGAATCATAGAATCACAGAGTTGGAAGGGGGCATACAGGCCATCTAGTCCAACCCCTGGCTCAATGCAAGATCAGCCCTGAGCATCTCTGACAAGTGTTTGTCCAGCCGCTGCTTGTAGAATCATTCTCCCAACAGTCAATTCTATTTGGTTCCAGTTTGAATACCAACAAGCTCAGCTGGAAGCTGAAATAGAAAATCTGTCATGGAAAGTGGAGAGAGCCGACAGTTATGACAGAGGGGTAAGTAACAACCTTGTCCAACCCACTCCCACACAATCTTTCCATTCATCAGCTCAACATCCATCCAGACAGCAGGTCTCAAGTAGTCCTACCTACAAATGGAGACATTGTCAATGAAGCGAAGGAAGACATCTTCTGCTCCTGATGCCTCAAAGTTTTATTCGAACAGGATTCAGGACAGGCAACATATGAATTATTTAAAGAGTTCACAGGTTCACCCACTACCTGAATCTTTTAAATGGCGATGCCGGGAACCGAACCTGGGACCTTCTGTATGGCAAGGATATGCTCTACCGCTGAGCCACAGCCGCCCCTCCCCAGGATGCTAGAAACTCACTATTTTAAAAATTGGTTTAGAGATCAGTTTTTAGATTTCTCTGGGAACCACCAGCTTTGTGACATGTTCAGCAGTCCTTGAAGTGAATGTTGAAAAAAGACTTCAAAAGTAGGAAGTTGGTCCTTATGGGGTCCTGTGCCTTTTCCTGCATCCCTGCTGCAGCTGGGGCCAGACAAGAGGTGGAGCACCCCACCCGGTTTCTAGAGATTCTCTCTCTGTCTGCTTTGTTCATGCAGTATGTAGAGATCCATGTCCTTGCCAGTCCAAAACAAATACATTTGGTTCTACTCCCTCTTTCTCTCTTTCCCCCTGTCTAGGACTTGGAGAATCAGATGCACATAGCTGAGCAGAGGAGGAGGACCCTGCTGAAAGACTTCCATGACACATAAAGTAGCAGGAGGCATCAAGGCGCGGGGGTGAGAGCAGAGAGAGCAAACTGGTGGCAGGAGCAGTGACTGAAGCAGCGTGAGAAACTGGCTCTGCCCCCTCCACAGAGAAGGGCTGAGGACAGCACTGAACCCTCCCTCACAAACCAGACATGAGCTAGCACCACAGCTTAGTTCTTCTGTTGTTGCTTCTTTTTTTTTCTTCTTCTTCTTCTCTTTCCGCTTTTTGTTTCTGCCAGGCTGGAGTTCAGACGTTGGCACCTTTTCCTGGGACATTTTCTTCCCTGGTTCTTGGTTGTTCTGGGAGGGTTCTAATATTTCCCCTCCCGAATGGCTGTTAATAGTGTTAGATCATTACAAATTTATGTAATTTTCGACAGTTGTACAATTATACAAAACGAACCCTAGAATAACACAAAACCCTTTTTAAAAATAAATCGGAATTGGAGTGTGTTTCCTTTTTGGTAAGCTGCTTGTGAAGTTAATGGCTTTTCTTCTGTTCCCTTCCTCCAGTCATCTTTTGCACTGGTGATTATGAGATAATCTGACTGGCTTTCTGTTAGCACCTCTTCTGTGTGCTGTTGGTATTGCTTGTTTTGCGACTGCACGAGAAGAGCAGTACCTGGGCCAGAAGACCAAGGATAAGCTTACAGTCAAGTGGCTCTCCTGTTCTTTTCTGGCTGTGCACAGGGACAGTCGAGCAAAGCTCAGGGGTGGGGGAAGCTCAGTTCTGCTAGTCCATATATTCTCTTGCTAACCTATAAATCTGAGCTTGTCCTCTGCATGGGTTTGTTGCTTGGCTTTTGTTTCTCTGGACTACTGTCCTCTGCTAAAAACTCAAAATGCTGCAGGGGCTTTTGGCACCACAGTCTCTCTCCTTGATGGCATCATGAACAGGCACTGGCTTTGCTTGAGAGCAGTAGGAACCAGCCAAGTTGCTTATCTGGGCAATTCAGTCACTTACAAACCTGATCTTTTACATGACTGTAAGGTGATACATCCAGTTTGGTCCCTCTTGCCCTGACAAGACCTGACTTCCCCACTGCTGCATGAAGGGAAAGCTGTTACACTTAACATGATGCTTGATTTTAAAAAAATCTTGGCTGTATAGGACAAATCCTTAACAAATATGTGCCGGTGGTAAACTAACATTGTTTCCCTGGAAACAACTACACCACTGGTTGTAAAGCAGGCAGCAGATTTGGCAGCAGAAGGGTGTGCTTTGCTTAGTATTAAGGTTTGTGGGTGGCCTGTTATGGGAAGGACTCTTGAATGTGTTTAAATGTAAAATTCCCTCTGGTTTAGCAAGAACCATACAATCACCATACACAACCACCATGCAAAAACTCTTAAGGGTATGTATAGTGTATGGGCTATAATATACCTAGGAAGATGGAACTGCCAGCTTTCTCCTAGTGTTGCTATGATTGCTGGATGTGAATGAGAACATCCGGTTTCCTTGCCACTTTCTGTGACCATTGTTGCACTGAACACTTCTTTGTGCATGGATCATGAACTTTCGGACTGGATAAAAAGAATTGACTAGGGTTATTGTTCTGTGCTTCTTAGTGGAAACTTTTTTTTAATCAATGTTGGCTTTTGTCCTAGTTCTTAAGACAGCCTGTTCTGCCACCCTTCTCTTTCTTCAGCCGCTCCTACTACCTCAAGCACTCCAAGGGAAACGATTATGCCCATTGTCTGCTTGTTCCTTTAAATAAATGGCCCCTGGATGTAAACACACACATATCCAGCAGCCAATTACTCAAAGATTCAAGAAGACTGAAGGAAGATAACTAGGCTAAATGATAAGTCCCTGGGAGAGAGAATTCCCTCCCTGCCAGTTATATTCCTCTTGTTTCCCATTGTTTACTCTTTCTGCCTTTCCATTGGTCTCTTGTAGCTGCTGCAGCACAATGACCTCAGCAGGCTTGCTCCTTTGAACCTATCCTTGTCCCATCACCCTGTATAGATCAGCCGCAAGGAAAAGATCCTACAACTGTGTTCCCTTGGCTGTAGATGTTTTCAGTTATCTGAATGAAGTCCACATTTTGACCCTGACGATAAACAGAACGACTAAGAGACAATCTTTTAGCAGGTGCAAAAAGAGATAGTTCAGTGTGTGTGATGTTAATTAATAGGATATGTTAACATTCATTCCATTATTGGTTTGATAAGATGAGGTGCATAAAGTACTCATGCCGGATTATGTTGTTAACAACTACCATTAGCTGAAGATTAGTCTCTTGATAGGAGAGTTGCAGTTAATTCCTGCTTGTGAAATGTCAGCCTGATCTCCTGGCTTATGTTTATGCTGAGTCTTCTGAACATCAGGCATTTCCTCATCCATACAAGTTTAATTTAGGCAGGAGCTGTCTGGCTCACTGAACTAACCTACTGAAGGCTACGTGACTCTCTAGCCAAGAACTGCGTATGGCGAAAGATCCAGCCACAGATTGTTGAATGCAGTGGCAGCACATTGGCATAAAGTTGAGCAAGTGTCAGGATCACAACTCGGCAATGGCAAACATCAAATTTTCTAACGTTGTGGCCCCACAGTTTTCAGCTAGATCAGATGACTAGAGCCAATCCCATGTTCAAGCTGCCTTTAACCATGAGGAAAGGTGGGATAGAAATGTTTTAATAAGCGTTGCTTTTAGGTGTGCCATATAAAAAGCCCTACTTGGTTGGCACATGGGCTGCCACCTCTTTTCGATCAGGGGCAGTATTCAAGTATGTGTAAACTATTTTGTTTAGTTCTAGAAAGTTTACAGATCAGTGTGCTTATCTTTCCAGTACATCCTTCCTATTTGAGAACAGCATGATGCTCAGGCTTTACCTAAAAGATGTTGCTATTGATGGGGACAGGCTGTAAAAAGTATATATATATTTCTTTAAAAAAAAAAAAAGCTTGCAGCTCATATAAAGCCAGTTGCCACAGCAAGACTGCAAGTAAGAATTAATGATCTCTGAGCCCAGTGTGTATAAACAGGTATATGCCTTTTCCCCTATAGTAAGTTAATGCCCTAATACTGGGAGCTCATCTTCCTGTTTCTGCAAATGCCACCTTGGCAGCTCTTTTCATTGTCAGTAGGATATGCTTTTGTTTATTTATTTTTTATTGCTGTGGCTCACCTTTGACTCCAGTGCTCAGTTTTATTTTGGCTTGGCTTACATTTAACATGTCCTTTTACGAAGAAATACAGAACAGTTAAGGCAGTATCTCTGCACCAGCTTCTGATAGCGAACATTGGAGACGTTCAGGTTGTACAGAATGCTGTCGAGTGGATGAGTCTGTAATCCCAGATTTTTTTGTGGAGATACCAAAAGAAGCTGTTCAGCCGGGAAAGAGGTCCTCTAACCCATTGCGTACTTGCTGTCGAATGGCACACCTCCCGCTGCAGTAAAGAGTTCTCTGACAACCTAAAACACATACTGTGACTGTTCTATGCACAGTATGATGCACTAGTGCTCCAGGAAGAACCAGAGACTACTTTTTATAACATTGCACTGTCTCAATTCACTTGACTTTTTTTTAAAATCAGTTTCACCTTTTTCATAGAAAAGGCTTTTCTGTATGCTCACTCAAGTCTGGACTGTTCCAAGTTTTCATATAGTAGCTTCTGCTATGGGAGGTTTTTTGTTTTTTAAAAATTATGCAGAGTGCTACATTATCATGGCTGTCTTTGCTCTCTCCCTCACTGAGGTATTGGGGGGACGCAATATTGAGAAACTGCCAAAACCTTTCTGGCATTAGGAGGGGGGAGGGGCAAAGGAAAAAAGCCCTTGAAGACCCCCAAATTGTTTATTTGAAATAAATTGTGAATTTCTAATTTTAAAATCTGCTGTGTCTTTTTTCCCCTTACTGATACCACCTTTTCTGTCTAAAAAAAGAGAAAATGGAAAGAAGAGGAGTGTGACAGTACCTTTCTTATTTTGTGTGGTTAAGTGTGATGTGATTTTAAATTTCTTGTCGTTTCTTTCTCTCACTCAAAGTATCTATCACTGCCACCAGGAATTTAATACCAGTCTTTAATTAACCCTTCCCACAGTATTGTGCCCAAGCTCCAAGGCTCCTTCGTTGGACTATGTGGTTCTGAGGATAAGACTCTGGGTCAACAATAAACAAGACAAAACTTTATTGGTAAAAGAAGCATATTGGTTATGTTGTGTTAAGTTGCTCAGTAGAATCGTTCCCTTTTACTGAGGTCTCTCAGCTTTCCCCCTCACTCTTAAAATACTGACTATATTAGATTTTTCCTAATATGCCCCTGTGGCGTCCTCTCTTTAGGGAGGACTAGTTTTCCCTTTAAATGTGCTCTTCTGTAAACTGGGTAGATTCGGCTGCCACCAGGAATTTAAGGATTTCCAAACCTTCTCTGTTTCTCTTACTGGTAGGGTAACACAAGGTCTAGGCTTTTTAGGGATCTACGTGGTCCTGAGGAATGATTGAATTCTATTCTGGGATAACAAAAGATGATTTATTGAACTAAGAACAAAATATGAGGTTGTTCAAATGTATCACACACAGCTGTTTTTCCTTTTTACTTTTTGTTTAATACTCAGTTCCAACATTAGCAGGATTCATTTCTTTCCTTTAGAGTCAGCCACTCAGGCGAAGGACTTCTATACTCTTTGAGATCTCACACAGCACTATCTGAACACTCACTGACTGAACACCAACTGAATAAATCCAACTGATTTCTAACTAACTTTCATAACTGTCTGACACACACAGAGATTTCTTTCAAAAATTCCCCCCACACTGTCATCCACCAATCACAGCACATTTGTCTCAATCAATCTCGTCTGCTTATCACCACACTTCAACCAAACATTTAAAGGCGCGCACGCACACACACTCATAAAACAAGGAATCGTTACAGCCCCCTTAAGTATATTTTCTTCCTCCTATGGAATCTTTTTTTTTTCTCATTAACATTTTATTGGTAGGATTAAAACAATAAAACAAATATAACAATAAAAATATACATAAAGGTCATAAGAACAGTTATACATTCAAACCAACACACTAATTACAAAAAAGTAAGCTTTAAAGAATGATACATTCTTCAATAAATCTTTGAACAAAGTAACTTATTTTAGCCTCAATTTGTAATTGATGCCTGTACTGTTTGTTGCTTTAGATACAACCAAGTGTCTTCTGCCCTCAACCATATGTTACACACATAATAAATGATGATCTGTTTCCCTGCAAAAAAAAAAGAATATCTGTAGACATTCAATGATATATCTAATCCTATTAAACCCAAAGTACTACCCACAAATCAAGTTTTACCAAAGCCTACTTACTATACTTTATTTGAACCATAAAAAATCCTCACAACCATTTAACATAGTTATCCCAGGATGCTGAGATAAATTTTTTGTCTGATAGAGCTTCTAAAATTGGCATCCATTTAGCTTCGAACCCAAAATGTACAACGTTCCTTTTATTTCTGTTAACTTTATCAGTGATGCTTTCCATAATGAACTGATTCCACAGCTTCTTGTACCAAGTTTGAATGTTAGGGGGGGAGATATCCTATGAAATCTTAATGCCTTTCACAGCACTTCTATATGATTCTAGTTAGAAGACCACTTCTCAGACTCTGTGTAGACTGACCACAACTGACAGCTGCTGAGTTCAAACTGAACAGTCCGCCCTCTCTCTCTCTCCCCTCTAGCTCCGCCCACACACTCAGTCACCAACCAATCACCTCACTCGCCACCCTCTTTCACCCCCTTGTTCTTCTGACACCAACTGTTTAAAGAAACACACATATATAACTTGAAATCATTACAAGGGAGAACAATTAGCTCCCCTGGAGAAAATGGATGCTTTGAAAGATGGACTCTATGGTGTTATACCCCACTGAAATCCCTCCCCAAATCTCCAGGAATTTCCCAATCCAGAGCTGGCAACCCTGCAACCATTTTCTAATTTTTAGGTGTACTTTATTTTGGCAGGTTTAGCTTCTGTTACCTCATTATTCCACCTATATTTAAACCTAAGCCATCTCCTTAGCCTAAAGTTGCAAAACATGTACAGCAAGGTTATGGCTCCTCCCCATTTTTTGCAAACTGGTTAGGGCAAGTCTATGGGAGGACAGATGTGAGGTGGAGATTCATTGGTGTAGAAAGTAAACCTAAGCCACCCATCCAGGACAGGGAATTGGTTTTCAAGGGTTAGCTGGAAGACCTTTCCTGAGATGAAGGACAAAAACAGATTGCATGCGGAATCGATAAATAGGACATTTTCCTTTCATGGTTTTTCTAGTGACAGCCGCTCTTTCACACCTTCCGTGTAGGATAAATACTGGCTGTCTCGGATAGCAGTAGCTAGCTAGGCTCCCCTTTGGTTAGGGGACATGCCGGTTTCTTGAAGAAAAGGCGTTCTATACTCGGGCAGGGGTGTCTTTCGGTTTCTTGAGGATTCTTTTTTTTTAGTTCTCAAGAAAGAAAACGCATATAGTCAAAGGCAGTTTTCAGAGGTAGCTCACTTTTCGTTGGCAGGGCTTGCTAACTGCAAGCAGTCCAGTAAGCCCCCCAACCGCTGCTACGCCAAAACCCTCGTCGAAAACTAACAGCACGTGAGAATGTTTTGCCCTCACTAAAAATGGCTCGAGCTCCATAACGAACATACGAAGGTGATGCCCTTTCTTAAAATGGTTTCCCTCGGCATTGCTAAGTCAAATAGGGAGGGGGGCCATATAAGCGCAACCGCACGCGCCAGTAACTAAAATGGCCGCATCTGTCCCAGTAGAAACTCCAGAAGCCAAAATATTTTTTTCCCTCTAGTAGCGGCCGCGGAGGGGGATGCACGGCCTCGCCCTCTCGCCGTGCGTGATGACGCGATGCCAGTCGGCTGCGCGCCACGGCGATCGTCATGGCACTAGTCGGCAGAGATTCCCGCCTGCTCTCCCTCCCGCTGCTTTTCGCGGGGTGGTTGCCTTGGTAACGGCCCGTCGCTCAGCGCCGGGTAAGGCTGGACTGGGCCTAGCATGGCTGCCGCGGCGGGGGCAGCTGTGGCGGCGGCAACCGCAGGGCAAGACGAGGCCCCGCCGTTGCCAGGGCCCCCCATAGGGCGGCGAGCGGTGTGCTCCCGACCCTACTTCGTAGTGCTGATGGTGTTCGCGCATCTCTACGTGCTCAACGTGTTGGGCTTGCTACTTTTCGTGCACATCAGCTCTGATGACGGAGATCCTGAGCCGGGCAAAGAGTCTCCTAGCCCTGCTCACGACCCGCCCGCGTTACCCTTCTCTCCGGGCAGCTCCAGCTCTCGTGCCCTGCCTCGCCTGGAAGGCATCAAGGCAAGCACAGCCAAAGCTCACGTCGTTCACTCTGTAAAAGCCGAGGGGGAGGAGCGCTGGCTGACTTCGGTTTGCTTGTACGAATCGGGGAGGGACCCGTGTTAGTCGCTCTTCTGTTGGGGATGGGATGTGTCGCGCGTTGCTTTCGCACGTGTGGTGGAGAGCAGCAGGCGTGCGTTTTGTTTGGGGCTTCTCTTTTCCTGCTCTGCCAGGGTCTCCCTGTGCCCTTAACAGTTGCGTGGGAAAAGAATTCGGCGGGTGAAGCTTTTTCTGACGTGCAAATGGGGGGTTGCCTGCTGACTGTCTAATTGCGGCACAGCGGTTAAAGGACATAGGAACTTGGGGGGGGGGGGGGTTGGCAACTTTCTTACTCTCTCCTAGGACTACTGTGCTCGAAATTTCCTGTAAGGGTAGTTTTGACTCTGCTACTTAATACAGCTGCGGGGTGAAGAACAAACCTTATTACATTTCAGGAACTAAGATATTAGTATCTCTTCTTTAATGGAAGGCTGGCATAGATCCCCCCCCCCCCCATTTAAAGTGTGAACAGCGCTTCGGTGTCACGCTGGACAGGATTGCACAGTTAATGCCTTTATTGCTAAATTTGCAGTGCAAAATACAGCCTGAGAGAGCTAATTGGTTTCATGCGGCATGCCCTGTTGTCAGCTAACAGCCTGTATACAGGCGTGGTACAGCATTAGGCTGTTGTCTACTGAATAAGCAGGATGATTGGCCACAGCCAGAATGGATAAAGTCAAGGTTGGTGTTTTGGGAGGCTGGATGGGCATGGCCAGGAAGGACATACTTGTGCATGGTGGCCTGATAAGAAAGCACAGTAGATAAAATAATTGACTTACATCATAAATTGGTGCAAAAGGATGGAAGCCTTGAGGGTTTCACAGAGTTCTTGTATGGGTGGAACTCAAAAGGTTGTATGTTGTTCTAATAAATGATATAATTTTGTCTGTTGATCCAGGATTGGTATAGAATGATCTGTATTTGTTTTGGGGGTGATGTCAATAGGACGGGGAGAACATGGCCAGAGCTGTATTGGCTTGTTGTGATTTGTACAATGAGTGACAAAGATCTGACACAACATGATTTATTGTTCTCACTGATAGGTTTGACACTCCAGCTAGTTTTGCCATGACATGGAATGTCATAGCAATCATGGACATAACTAAGGGTAGCAGAGTATTCATTTTTAGAAATTATGCTTTCTCTTTCTGTAAAAGCACACAAAGTGTAAAACAGGCTTTGAGGGGTTTGGGGTGGCATGGCTGGGATTGGTGCTTTACACGCTGGGATGGAATTGTAGGTTAGCCTATTCATTATCTGTGGGATTAGCACAGCAGGCTAGGTAACCGAGTTGATGGATTCGCTGCAGCCAGTACTGATGTGACTACAGCGTAAACCCTCTGGGCTGGGACTTTGTTATTTCTATGGTCTGTGCAGTGCCTCGCTTTGAAGTAGGTCACAAGCAACAATAATAGGAAATGGTACAGTGGATCTGGCTGGATGAACAAATAGTCTACTGAGAGGCTAAAAAATCCCTAAAGTGCTGGGGTAAAAGGATTAGTCTTCACTACAGTTGTACAGCAGAGGAGCACAGGACCCCCAAATATCTATATCTTTCGAAAAGAAACAATAGTACTCAAAATGGTATAATTGCAGAACAAAGTTTGAATAAAACTTTGTCGGTCTTAAAGGTGCCACTGGACTCAAACTTTGTTCTGCTGCTTCAGGCTAACACGGCTACCCTTCTGAATCTATCTTCATGGTATAATTGGAGTTAGACTGGAAGGGGTGTTAAATGACTTGCTACCATGCATATTGCAAACAGTTCCAGAGGGTTAGTTGTGTTAGTCTGTTGCAGAAAAAAGTAAACAGGAGTATTGTGGCACCTTAAAGACTAATGAAGTGGGTTCTAGTACATGAAAGCTTGTGCTAGCACAGAAACTTGTTAGTTTTCAAACTGCCACAAAACTCCTTTTTATAGTTGCCAAAAATAACTCAAACAATTAAATACCAGCAGCGATCATCTGGGCAATGCGTGGATGGTGGGGGTGGCACTGACTATGTGTAGCAAATGCTCATTTTTGTGTGTGCAAAAACAAATTAGTATGGAGAGATCAAACTCTTCTGGGCACTGATGGCGTCATTTCTGTACAGAGCCTCACACGACATTCAGTTGTTAAAGTTTAAATAGTATTTGTTTGCCATAGACCAGTGATACTTACTCCACATCTTGTGGGGAACCACTTTTGCAACTACTGTCAACCAAAAGAGCCACGTTTACTTCCATCCCTGGCATGAGGCCTGTGCATCAAGCCTTCAGGCTGTGCTGGGCTGGCTCTGTCATTCTGTTCTCAAGTGTATGCAGTGATGGGGATTTTTTTTCCAACAATATACATTGGGGAAAACTTTCTTGTGCCATAAACAGAGTGTGGTCTGAACTGGCATATGTATTTTGACATATCTAGTTAAAAAAAAAGTAAGTACCCTATTTAATTTTATGTTCCAATAGCAACAACTACTGGGAGTGAAATATTTGGCTGGAGAAAAAGTGAATCAAGTGTGCGTTAAATGTTACAGTTGAACGAATTCAAAGTGAGATGTGGAAATTATTTTTATTGGAATACTAACCTGTAAATACTTAAAGACAGTAGAGCAGGGGTGTCAAACATGTGGCCCGGGAGCCGGATGAGGCCCCCGGAGGGCTTCCATCAGGCCCCCAGTGGAACTGGCCATGTCCTGCTTCCAGTTCTGCTGCTGCATCATAGCTTGCTTCACCAGACTCTTAATCACTCAGCCATTTCATGTTTTAACCTGAGTCCTAGACTCAGAACTCTGAGCATGAGATTTCTGTGGTGAATGTCAATAAATCAAAAGTAGGTTTGCAGCTTACATGTTTTAAGCATGTTTTTATTTTAAGTTAAAAAATCTTTGTTTTTGTGTCCTTTATAAAGTTTATCTCTCTGCTACCTGGCGTTACATTTTGTGACACACAAGGTCTGATTTATGTCAGATCCAGCCCTCATAACAAATGAGTTCGACACCCCTGCAGTAGAGCATGCCCTTCCCTTATAATGTATAAATTTATTTTTATTTAATTTTATTTATACCCCGCCCTCCCCGCGTGCAGGGGATCCCAGAGGTACCCAAAACTGATGACCCGTGAGTTTTAGCACATCCAAAGAACTGTTCATGATATGCCTCAAATGCAGCAGTCCACTCTTTCAGTTCAATAGAACGTAGCTTTTTTTCTATGGAGATCACTGAGGCACCTCCGTTTTATTGTCCCTCTCCATACTATCACTTGCATTAAGTCTATATCTGATAGGTTATTACAGTAACCTTTCCATCATGTGAGAGGAGACTTATAAAGAAGACTTCTAGCTCTGACTTTAATTTGATTTTCACAGCCCATTAGGTGAACTCATAATCTCATTTTTAGCATTTGAATCATTGTACGTATTTTTGATATTATTCCTCCACCCCACTGTCTACAAATCAATAAAGCAAGTCTTGCCTCTAATCAGCTGAAATACATTAATTAAATAACTGAAACTGCCAAACTTGCTTAATACTGTATTGGCAATGGTATCCATTCACTGTTGTTTCCACAAATGGCATCTGTTCATTGTTGTTTCTCCAAGTCTTTAGAAACTAAACAATGAATCTTTAGAAATGGAAAATTTTCTGTGGAAAAATAAGGATTGGAAAATACTGTGCCCCATATCTCTGTGTATATGAGAATTTGGTTAATTAGTATAAGGGCTGAAAGCATTATGACTGTGCGTCAGCATGGGCAAGCAATATTTTCAGCCTGCCCAAACAGTTTAGTTCTGAACTTCACAGTGGGTCAGGAATCAGAAACCTTCTGAGCAGACTGGAACCGCTGCTCTCCTACCCTGAACTTTTCAGCGATTAGTACATGTGTGTGATGTGATTCCAAATGCTGGAGCTGATCATCTGTGTCTGGGTCTAATCATTCTTTTTGCTTTCTTTTCAAGGTGGGCCATAAACAGAAGGTGGAGCTGGTCCCCAACAAAATCCATTACATGAAAACTCTTAGTCTGAAACCTCTTCTTTTTGGTAAGAAATATGAGCTGCTGGAGATATATCTGTTATGGCCTGTCATGGGCGCCTAGCCTTTTACTAGGAGAGAGAATGAGAAGCACCAAATAACTGAGATGGAAGTTTTTTCTTTTCCTGTTGGACTGCTCTCTCCCCTTGGATTACGGCCACTCTGTCCCATCCATCACAGTCATTATGGATCACTTCTACTTATTGCAGAAGGGTATGACTCCAGTTAGCATGGCAGTAGTAACTGGATACACCGAGAAACAGTATAAATATGTATCGTTTAACTGTGATTGACGCAATTTGTGTAAGGCTTAAAAGAGGAAGTAATTGAAGGAAACTTGAAATAGTTATTCCCAATCCCTCTTTGTGGCAGTACACATAAAGGGGTCTCAAGTTGGCCTTGAATGTGGGAGAGCAGATTTAGCCATCGCTTAGGCAGGTAGCCTTTGGCACACCCTCTCATCATCAATTGATCCATTTATAAAACAGAAATAATTGTTGTAATGATGGATTAAACAACCGGGTTATAATATTTTGTTGGTCCCTCGGCATAATGTAATAATTTTTATATACCACAACTACTTTGACCTTTTACTCAGTGTCCTGTATCCAACTTCCATAAAGCACACATATAAGGTTTAGCATTGCAGCATTTATCAACACTGAGGATT